AAAGAGCGGCGGGAGAGGGCGAGGAGCAGTGCGGTAGGGGAAGAGGCGGTAAAAGGGGACTGACTCATCAAAGGTGACGTCCTGGGACGCAAAGACACGGCGCGAGGCGGGGTCGTAAAACTGCCAGCTAGGCGCGTCAGGGACGAAGCCAAGGAAGACGCAAGGAATGGCGCGAGGGGAGAGCTTGTCCGCGGTGGTATCGCGAACAAAGGCACGAGCACCCCAGACCCGGAAACGCGACGCGTCGCCAACCTTCCCCGTCCACAGCAGTGTGGGCGAGGTCTCCGGCAAGGAGACACGGGGCCAAAGGTTGAGCTGATGCACGGCGTACCGGACCGCAAACGGCCACAGAAAATGGGGGGCAGCCGCATGGATCATGGAGGTACGAGCGACCTCCATGACTAAGCCAATGCGGCGTTCAGCAACCCCATTCTGCTGCGGAGAGGCCGGAAGCGTGAAAGTCTGGCGGATGCCGTGCTCCGCACAGAAGGCGGCCAAGAGGTCTGAGGAGAACTCACCACCTCTGTCAGAGTGCAGACGCAGGACAGGAAAGTCCGACTGGAACCGCTCGCGGAGCTGGAGACGAGTAGCGCGGATCCAGGGGATCAGAACATCAGGGACATCCCCCTTGCGCTGCAAGGGGAAGACCGTGGTGTAGCGCGTGTAGTCGTCGACAACCAGCAGGAAGTACCGCTCGTGGCCCTGTCCACAGACGCGGGCTGGGCCCCACACGTTAAGGTGGAGAGTCTGCAGTGGAGCCTCTGTGGGAGGGAACGAGGAGGAGTGAGGAGCGGCGCGCTGCCGCCCCTCGACGCAAGGAATGCAGGGCGGCGCAGGCGAGGGAGGGAGGGCAGGCAGAGACCTGGGAAGACCAGAAACCAGAAAGCGAGAGTGCATGCTACGAAGGCGAGGCAGGGAGGGGTGTCCCAGGCGGTGGTGCCACAGGAGGGTGTCGTGAGACAGCCGGCGAAACTCACACTGGGTAGCTACCTGAGCAGACGCGTGCAGCTGGGGAGACAAAGGGGCGAAGCGGGACTCAGTTGTGAGGGTGTACAGACTGGACCATGGCGCACGGGTGAACGTGGCCAGGTGGCGGCCGGTCTGGGAGCACGTGCAGATCGCCACACGCTGTCGGCCAGGGGTGAAGGTGTCAACACCCGCATCCTGGAGGACAGCGTTGCTCACCAAGTTCGTAGAGAACGAGGGGAGGTGGAGACCAGACAGCTCACCAGACGGGACCGCCGGACACGGAAGCACAGTGGAAGACCGTGCAAGCACTGGGCCCCCAGAGGGGTCAGCCAGTGAGACAGGAACAGGTGCAGGAAGGGGAGTGACTGTGGTACTGTCGCGAAAGAAACAGCGGGAAGCACCAGAGTCAAGTGTAAAGGTGTGCAAGGCCTGTGCAGGCGCAGTACCAAGGGGAGCAGACTCACAAGCACCTAGTGCTGCAGGGGCTATACCAGGGGCTATACCAGGATCCGGCGGCACACACAAGTAGCAGTCACCCTCAGCACTAACAGACAATGCATACATAGCAGCTAGAATAGCCTCATAGTCAAGATCAAAGATTGGTACATCACGCCTAAGCAAGTCTGCCCAGTTGGGGAACTCAGTAGCATCAGGAAACTTGGCGCGCCAGGCGTCGCTAAGTCGAGCGAAGCAGCGCTGCTCAGTGTGAAACCCTGTGCACTGGCGATTAGCGCGGGGACCTGTGCGGATGATATAGGGGCAGCGACCAGGACCCCCAGAAGCCCCACGCCCGGCATACCAGTCAAGAAGCTGCTGGGAAGTGGGGGTCTGGCGCTGACGCTGCTGCTGCTGCTGCTGCTGCTGCGGCTGCTGCTGGCCCTGACCACCACTGCCACCACCGCTCCCTCCTCCCCCACCGCCGCTGCTGCCCCCTCCACCGCCCCCAGTGCCTCCGCCGCCCCCACCACCACCTCCACCCCCTCCACCCCCACGACCACCCCCACCACCTCCACCGCCCCCGCCGCCTGCACCATCGCCACCTCCACCGCCGCCCCCACCTGCCCTGCCACCCTTGCCTCCCCTGCCGCTGCGACGCTTCCCACTAGGAGCGGAAGCAGCCCCGACCTCCTCAGCACCAAGGTAGTCGTGAGCAGCAGCTGCGAAGGCGTAGGAGGGGGTGAGAGGGGAGGGGGAGCACTCCTCAAAGAGGGGAGAGCGAGGAGTGCCACGAGCAGCAACTACAGCGAGGATGTTCTTCTCTGCGGCAAGGAGGTGCTTCTCGAAGTCGTCGACAGTGAGAGTGGGGGGGTCTAGCGCTAGGAAGTGGTCCCTGACCGAGCTAAGAGTGTCAGGGAGGCGCGTAACGAGGAAATAGAGAGTGAAGTACATCGGGGGGGGGGGGGGGGGGGGGGGGGTTAGCGGCGCAGAACTCGGCTGAGAGGGCGGCACGAAAGCGAGTGTCAGTAGCGCGGAGGTGAGAAATGAGGTCCTCAGCAGTGGTGAACGAGGAAAGGTCGGGGAACAGGTAGGGTAGCATGAGTCGACCTATGGCTGCAGTGGCCGGGGAGGAGTAGCGCGTAACTACAGCGTCGTACAGCTTCTTAGCAGTTTTGTGCTGGCTGAAATGCGCGCGCTCAGTGATCGGCAGATGGTTCCTAATAGCTAGGCGTGCAGCACCATCGCGAGTCTGCCACTGCGAGCGTTCGAGAGCAGGAGCATCAGCAGCAGGAGCAACGGCAGTGCCAGACACGTAATCGAACAGTGAAACGCCCTCTTTGGCATCGGTCAGAAGGAACAGTTGCAGGTCGTCTAGCCACACAGTGAACTCTATAGGGCGACCGTCAGGCTCGAACGTGAGAACATTAGGCGTCGTCATAACAGCAGTAGGCAAAGGCAGCCAAAAGCAGGCAGGCAGTAGACACGAGGCAGTAGGCAGTAGACAGCAGGCTAAGACAGAGGCAGTAGGCAGTAGGCAGTACAGGCAACGTGCAGGGCAGTAGCTTGCTGCACCCGAGCTCCTAAGGTGGGGCTCTAGACAGTGGCAGGCCGTACAGTTTGTGTCAAATGATATATATGTTTAGGCTATAGTGGGGTAGCCAATATGGGTTACAGCCCCTTTTAGGGTTTCATATTTGTACCAATCTCATTCATAGTTCATTCATTCCTGCCTACTATCTTAACATGGTTTCAGAGCAGGAGTTCCCTAGGACCTAACTCAGTGGGCCCACCGTTTTTTTTCCGCCACGTCACGCCCTACTGTCGCCCCTAGCGGGCCTTACTGCCGCGTCGCGCCCTACTGCTGCGCCGCGCCCTGCTGTCGCGTCGCGCCCTGCGGCTGCGTCGCGCCCTGCTGCCGCGTCGCGCCCCGCAACCGCGTCGCGCGCGCTGCAGCTGCGTCGCCCGCCCGCCGCGTCGCGCGCCCTTCCGCCGCGTCGCCCGCGCCCTGCTGCGCTGCCCGCGCCTTGCTGCGCCGGCCGCGCCCTTCTGCGCCGGCCGCGCCCTGCTGCGCCGCCCGCGCCCTGCTGCGCCCGCCCCGCCCTGCTGCGCCGCCCGCGCCCTGCTGAGCCCGCCGCGCCCTGCTGCGCCGCCCACGCCCTGCTGCGCCGCCCGCGCCCTGCTGCGCCGCCCGCTCTCTGCTGCGCTGCCCGCGCCCTGCTTAGCCGCCCGCGCCCTGCTGCGCTGCTCGCGCCCTGTTGCGCCGCCCAGCCACCCGCGCCCTGCTGAGCCGCCCGCGCCCTGCTGCGCCGCCCGCACCCTACTACGCCGCCCGCGCCCTACTGCGCCGCCCGCGCCCTACTGCGCCGCCCGCGCCCTGCTGGGCCGTCGCACGCCCTTCTGACACCTCGCCTGCCCTGCGTTGCGCGTCCTGCTGCTCGTCACCGCCTAGCACCATGGCCACTCTTCGTGTTCTGTCCTTCGACACTGAGGGCCGTCCTGTAGAGTTCGACGCCTGGCTCGATGACTTGCAGCTCTACCTCATTAGCACCAGCAAAGACGAGATCTCCCTCTTTGATCACACCTCCGGTGCTCTAGCTGCTCCTGCTGACACAGCTGCCTTTAGCGAGCGCTCTCAGTGGCTGACACGCGATGCTGCTGCCCGCCTTGCTATTCGCAACCACCTGCCGCTGGCGGAACTTAAGCACTTTGGCGAGCACAAAACCGCTAAGGCCCTGTACGACGCTGTAGTTGCTCGCTACTCCTCCCCTGCCACTGCTGCGCTCAGCCGCCTCATGCTGCCGTACCTGTTCCCCGAGCTGTCGAGCTTTGCCACCGTAGCCGACCTCATCACTCACCTTCGCTCTAGTGACCCTCGTGTCCGTGCCGCACTCCGCAAGGAGTTTGTTGCCCAGCACCCCCCTCCGATGTACTGGACGCTCCACTTTATAGTGACCCGCCTACCTGACACCCTTCGCTCAGTCAGGGATCACTTCCTAGCGCGCTATCCCTCCGACCTCACCATAGACCTCCTAGAGGAGCACCTCTTAGACGCTGAGAGCAGCATTGTTAGTGTGGCTGCTGCTCGTGGTGCTCCTCGCACCCCCATCTTTGAGGGGTGCGCTTCTTCCCCTCTTGCCCCCTCCTACGCCACTGCTGCCGCTGTAGACTTCCTTGGAGCCGACTCGGTTGGTGCTGCCTCCATTTCTGCTGGGCGGCGCCGCACCGGCAAGGGCAAGGGGGGCAAGGGTGGTGGTGGCAGTGGTGGCGGAGGAGGAGGTGGAGGAGGTGGAGGTGGCGGTGGGAGTGGAGGCAGTGGCGGCGGGGGTGCTGGTGGGAGTGGTAGCGGCGGTGGAGGAGGTGGTGGTGGTGGCGGCGGTGGGAGTGGCGGTGGTGGCGGTAGCGGCGGTGGTGGCGGTAGCGGCGGTGGTGGAGGCAGCGGAGGCGGTGGCGGTCGTGGTGGAGGCGCTGGTCAGAGACAGAAGCAGCAGCGGTCCCTTACGCCTCAGCAGCTTCGTGAGTGGTTGGCTCAGAGGGGTACGTCTGGGGGTACTCGCTGTCCGTATGTCATTCGCACCGGTGAGCGTGCTGGTCAGACATGCGGCAAGCCCCACCCCCAGCAGCGTTGCTTCTCCCGCCTTGACGACGCCTGGCGTGAGGAGATGGGTGCAGAGGTTGAGACCCCTCGCTGGTTTGATCTGCTTAAGAAGGGTGTAGACATCTTTGCTCTTGACTATGATGCTATTCTTTCTGCCATGTATGCATTGTCTGTTAGTGCTGAGGGTGACTGCTACCTGTGTCTGCCGCCTGATCCAGGTATAGAGCCAGCAGCTCTTGGTGCGTGCGAGTCTGAGCTCTCAGGTACCGTGTCCGCTGCCTCAGGTGCGGGTGAGTCTGCGCTGTCAGGTACTGTGCCTTCTACCGCCTTGCACACCTTCACTCTTGACTCAGGTGCTTCCAGGTGTTTCTTCCGTGACAGCACAGCCCTCACACCGCTCCCTGCACCAGTTGCAGTCTCCCTGGCTGACCCCTCGGGGGGTCCAGTCCTTGCACGGTCTACCACTATGCTTCCTTGCCCAGCGGTCCCGTCTGGTTCGCTGTCAGGTCTCCACCTCCCCTCGTTCTCTACGAACTTGGTGAGCAACGCTGTCCTTCAGGACCACTGGGTTGATACCTTCACCCCTGGAGTACAGCGTGTGGCGATCTGCACGTGCTCCAGGACTGGGCGACACCTGGCCACGTTCACGCGTGCGCCAAGGTCGAGCCTTTACACACTGACCACTGTGTCACCCCAGGTCGCTGCTGTCGGTCAGGCGTCTGTGTCAGGTCAGCTAGACTCCCCTTGCTCGTGTCGCTCCCTGTCGCACCAGACCGTTCTGTGGCACCACCGTCTGGGCCACCCCTCCCTGCCCCGTCTTCGTGACATGCACCGTCGCGTCCTTGTGTCTGGTCTTCCCCGGACCCTGCCTCCCCTCCCTGCTTCGCCTGCCACGGCCTGCCTTCCTTGCGTCGAGGGGCGGCAGCGCGCCGCTCCTCACTCCTCGATTCCTCCGACAGAGGCTCCGCTGCAGACTCTCCACATGGACGTGTGGGGCCCCGCCCGTGTCAGCGGACGGGGTGGAGAGCGGTACTTCCTGCTGGTCGTTGACGACTACTCGCGCTACACCACGGTCTTCCCCTTGCGCACCAAGGGTGAGGTCCCTGCTGTCCTGATCCCTTGGATCCGAGCAGTTCGTCTACAGCTACGCAGGAGGTTTTAGACCGACCTCCCTGTTCTGCGTCTGCACTCTGACAGGGGCGGAGAGTTTGCCTCCGACCTCTTGCGCGGCTTCTGTCAGGAGGAGGGCATCACCCAGTCTTACACGCTTCCGGGCTCACCGCAGCAAAATGGGGTAGCTGAGCGCCGCATTTCGCCTGGTCATGGAGATCGCTCGTACCTCCTTGATCCATGCGGCGGCTCCCCATTTTCTGTGGCCGTTTGCGGTCAGGTACGCCGCACAGCAGCTCAACCTCTGGCCCCGTGTCTCCGTTCCGGAGACCTCGCCCACACTGCGGTGGACGGGGGAGGTTGGAGATGCGTCGGTGTTCCGGGTCTGGGGTGCCCGTGCTCTTGTTCGTGATACGTCCGCGGACAAGCTCTCCTCCCGCACCCTTTCCTGTGTCTTCCTCGGCTTTTCGACTGACGCGCCTGGCTGGCAGTTTTACCACCCCGCCTCGCGCACTGTCCTGTCTTCTCAGGACGTCACTTTTGACGAGTCAGTCCCTTTCTACCGCCTTTTTCCCTACCGCACTGCTCCTCTCCCTCCCCCGCCGCTCTTCCTCGCTCCAGGTCCCCCTCCGGTAGACCCCCTTCCCCCCCAGGGTCCTGCTCCTTCAGGTGTGTCTCAGGTAGACCCACCTCCCTTAGCTGAGCCTGTCGAGGTCACTAGCGTCTCAGGTGCTGCTGAGGGTGGTACTGCTCAAGGTGCTGCGTCTGGAGGTGCTGAGCCACGGCGTGAGGTTCTGGAGGGTGAGGTGCCTGCGGGTGCTGAGCCGGTGCGTGAGGTGCTGGAGGGTGCAGAGCCTAGGGGTGCTGAGCCGGTGCGTGAGGTACTGGAGAGTGCGGAGCCTGGGGGTGCTGAGCCGGTGCGTGAGGTGCTGGAGGGTGCGGAGCCTGGGGGTGCTGAGCCGGTGCGTGAGGTGCTGGAGAGTGCGGAGCCTGGGGGTGCTGAGCCGGTGCGTGAGGTGCTGGAGGGTGCAGAGCCTGGGCGCGCGGAGACTGAGGGTGCTGGGCCGGTTTCTCGCCGGCCCCTTACACCAGCGGAGCTGCGAGAGTGGTTTGCGGTTCGTCAGCGACTGAGGAGGCGTCCTGGAGTTAGCGGTGCTGCCGCTGGTACTGGAGACACTCGTGCTACCACAGGCCCTGGAGGTGCTCGTACTGGAGGTACTCGAGCTGCCGAGGCCGGTGGTTCTGGGGGTGCTTCTGGTGGTGTAGCTGGTGCTGGAGCTGCTGGAGGTGCTGCTGGAGCTACCGGTGGAGCTGGTGGTGCTGCTGGAGCTGGTGGAGGTGCTGCTGGAGCTACCGGTGGAGCTGGTGGAGCTGCTGGAGCTGCTGGTAGTGCTGCTGTTGGTGCTGCTGGTGCTGGAGCTGCTGGTGGTGCTGCTGTTGGCTCTGGGGGTGCTGGAGCTGCTGGAGGTGCTGCTGGAGCTGCTGGTGGTGCTAGTGTTGGTGCTGCTGGTGCTGGAGCTGCTGGTGGTGCAGCTGTTGGCTCTGGGGGTGCTGAGCGGCCACGGCCGTACTTCGTTCCGCTCCTTGAGCAGGTTCTTGGTCTCCCGCCTTCTCCTGCTCCTCCCCCTTCCTTAGAGTGTCCACCGCCTGTCTTGTCGCCGCCACAGCTACAGCCCACCTCCCCGCTGCCTGCTCCGTCTCCGTACGCTGGTCCGACAGGAGGTCTTGCTGAGCGTCGTGAGCCTGCGCCTCGTCCTGTGTCGCCTGTTCGTGCTGCTCGCACTAGTCCTCGTAGTCCGCGTCCTCCTCCTGTTGCTGGCACGCATCGGATGACTCTGCGTCCTTCCACTGCTCCACAGCGTGTCCCTCTACCGTCTCCTCCTGAGTCCTCTCTTCCTACCCTTGCTGACCCAGAGTCTGACTCCCTTCGTGCTACTAGTCCTACTGTCACGCGTCTCCTAGCCACTGTTGTCACTGACCCTTCCTTTGAGTCTGCTGCTGCGTCTGCGCTGGTTGCCGAGCTTGTCGACTTTGCTGCTCGCTGTCGTCTAGACTACGCTGCCAGTCTTGTTGCTGAGTCTGAGTCTGTCTGTCCTCCGTCCGTCGGGGGTGAGTGTGCCCTTGGCACGGACGTCCTTGAGGACAGGCAGGAGGAGTTCCAGTGTTTTGCTGCTGCTTCACCTCATCTCGTGTCCATGCTGCTTGCCCCTGAGGGAGACCCGGATGCACTAGACATCCCGACTCCGCGCTCTTACGCAGAGGCGGTTGAGGGTCCCTACTCCTCTCAGTGGCAGGCAGCCATGGACGCAGAGATGGCTTCCTGGAAGTCCACAGGCACCTACGTCGACGAGGTTCCCCCACCTGGGGCGAACATTGTCGATGGCATGTGGATCTTCAGGGTGAAGCGGCCGCCGGGTTCTCCGCCTGTCTTCAAGGCGCGTTACGTTGCTCGTGGCTTCACTCAGCGGCATGGAGTTGACTACTTTCAGACCTTCTCTCCCACCTCGAAGATGACCACTCTTCGGGTACTGCTGCACGTCGCCGCTCAGCGTGACTACGAGCTTCACTCTCTTGACTTCAGCACTGCCTTTCTACAGGGCAGCCTGCACGAGGAGATCTGGCTGCGCCGCCCACCTGGCTTCACTGAGTCGTTTCCCCCTGGTACCCAGTGGAGCCTCCGGCGGCCAGTCTACGGTCTCCGCCAGGCACCTCGTGAGTGGCACGACACACTGAGGACTACACTTGCGGCTCTTGGGTTTGCTCCTTCTACTGCTGACCCGTCGCTGTTTCTACGCACCGACACTTCACTGCCGCCGTTCTACATCCTCGTGTACGTCGACGACTTGGTCTTTGCTACTGCTGACACTGAGGCACTGACTCTAGTGAAGTCGGAGCTGCAGAAGAGACACACGTGCACAGACCTGGGTGAGCTGCGCGGCTATCTTGGCTTGCAGATCACTCGGGACAGAGCACGCCGCACCATCACTCTGACCCAGTCACACATGGTGCAGCAGGTCCTTCAGCGCTTCGACTTCCAGTTCTCCTCGCCACAGTCCACTCCTCTGCCTACTGGTCACTCGCTCTCAGCTCTGCCTTCGGATGAGTCCGTAGAGCCGAGTGGCCCGTATCCAGAGCTTGTGGGCTGCCTCATGTACCTGATGACCTGCACTCGCCCTGACCTCGCTTACCCTCTCAGCATCCTAGCACGCTACGGTGCGCCCGGGAGACACCATCCAGAGCACTGGAAGGCAGCTAAGAGGGTGATGCGTTACTTGTGCAGTACATCAGGCATGGGGCTCGTGCTTGGAGGACGGGGTCGAGTTGTCCTCACTGGTCACGCAGACGCTTCTTGGGTTGACGACTTGGCTACGCAGCGGTCGTCACAGGGTTACACCTTCAGCCTTGGCTCCGGTTCTGTCTCTTGGCGGTCTACCCGCTCTTCTTCTGTTCTCAGCTCTAGCTGTGAGGCTGAGATCTACGCAGGGGCCATGGCTGCACAGGAGCTGCGTTGGCTCACCTACCTGCTGATGGACTTGGGCGAGGTGCCTCGTTCTCCCCCACTTCTGTACGTCGATAACAAGGCAATGATTGCTTTGTGTCGCGAACAGAGGTTGGAGCACAGAACGAAGCACATCGCTCTTCGCTACTTCCTTGCTCGGGAGCTGCAGCAGCGTGGTCAGCTTCGTCTTGCCTACGTGGCCTCTCAGGCCAACACTGCTGATGTGTTCACCAAGGCACTTTCGCCTCGTGACCATCAGCGCTTCTGTACTGCACTTGGCCTTGTTCCTGTGTCTTCTCGCTTACTTACTTCTTGACCTTGCCTGTACTGTGGTCTATATTGTATACCTGCATGCCTACACTTGTTAGGTAGTGATCACTGTACTTTTGCTTTTGCATATATATTTCTGCATGCGGACTGGCCCTTTGGCCCTTTGCTTGTGCTCAGATTGTGTGGTGACGTTGTGATCCACCCTGAGCTTGCTTTGCTTCTTTTGACTGGTCTTGTGACCCCTTGTTCTCCCCCACTTTGCCTATGGGGGTGTGTCAAATGATATATATGTTTAGGCTATAGTGGGGTAGCCAATATGGGGTACAGCCCCTTTTAGGGTTTCATATTTGTACCAATCTCATCCATAGTTCATTCATTCCTGCCTACTATCCTAACAGTTCGAAGGCAGTGGGTTCGGCAGCAGTGAGCCTCACAGGCAAGTACACAAGTAGGGCACGCGCGGCTGCTGGCTGCGTGCGGCTAAGGGCCGCGCGTGGCTCTCTGCTGCGCGTGGCTACGTGCTGCGCGTGGCTCCTGGCTGCACGTGACGACGGGCAGCGCGCGCGCGGGCGGCGGGCTCTACATCGCGCGCGGGCGGCGTGAGAAAAGGAGAAAGCGAATGAATGAACTATGAATGAAGTGAGTACATATAGGAAACCCTAATTGGGTTGTACCCCCTATGGGATACCCCACTATAGCCTACACAACAGCATAAGCTATATATATGTTCTGACACACCCCCATAGGCAAAGTGGGGGAGAACAAGGGGTCACAAGACCAGTCACGCAAAGCACAGCAAGCTCAGGGTGGATCACAAAGTCACCACACAGTCCGAGCACAACGACAAGGCCACAAGGCCAGTTCACATGCAGGAGTGCACACATATATATATAGAGCTAGACAAGCAAGAGCAGGTATATATATGTGATAGTACAAGCAAGGTCAAGAGGAGAGCAAGTGAGGCAAGACAGGTACAAGACCCAGCTGAGTGCAGAAGCGCTGATGGTCACAAGGCGCAAGTGCCTTGGTGAACACATCAGCAGTGTTGGCCTCAGAGGCCACGTACGCAAGTCGCAACTGACCACGCTGCTGCAGCTCACGAGCAAGAAAGTAACGGAGAGCAATGTGCTTCGTTCTGTGCTCCAAGCGCTGCTCTCGACACAAGGCCAGCATGGCCTTGTTGTCTACGTACAGCACTGGAGGAGAACGAGGCGGCTCTCCAAGGTCAGTCAGCAGGTAGGTGAGCCAGCGAAGCTCCTGTGCAGCCATGGCCCCGGCGTAGATCTCAGCCTCACAACTGGAGCCGAGAACAGAGGACGAGCGTGTAGCCCGCCACGAGACAGAGCCGGAACCAAGACTGAAGGTGTAACCCTGCGACGACCGCTGCGTAGCCTGGTCGTCAGCCCAAGAAGCGTCCGCGTGCCCAGTGAGGACCACTGGACTCCGCCCTCCAAGCACTAGCCCCTTGCCCGACGTACTGCACAAGTAGCGCAACACCCTCTTCGCTGCAGCCATGTGCTCTGGTCGGTGTCTCCCAGGAGCAACATAGCGTGCAAGAATGCTAAGAGAGTATGCAAGGTCAGGTCGTGTGCAGGTCATCAGGTACATGAGGCAACCAACAAGCTCTGGGTACGGGCCACTCGACTCTACGGACTCATCCGAAGGCAGAGCTGAGAGCGAGTGGCGAGTAGACAGAGGAGTGGCCTGAGGCGAGGAGTACGTAAAGCCGAAGCGCTGAAGGACCTGCTGCACCATGTGTGACTGAGTCAAGGTAATGGTGCGGCGTGCTCTGTCCCGAGTGATCTGCAAGCCAAGGTAGCTGCGCAGTTCACCCAGGTCTGTGCACGTGTGTCTCTTCTGCAGCTCGGACTTCACGTAGGCTAGTCCAGCAGTGTCAGCTGTGGCAAAGACCAAGTCGTCGACGTACACGAGGATGTAGAACGGCGGCAAAGAAGTGTCGGTGCGCAGAAACAACGACGGGTCAGCAGTAGAGGGAGCAAACCCAAGAGCCGCAAGCGTAGTCCTCAGTGTGTCGTGCCACTCACGCGGTGCCTGGCGGAGACCGTAGACTGGCCGTCGGAGGCTCCACTGGGTGCCAGGAGGGAAAGTCCCAGTGAAGCCAGGTGGACGGCGCAGCCAGATCTCCTCGTGCAGGCTACCCTGCAAGAAAGCAGTGCTGAAGTCAAGAGAGTGGAGCTCGTAGTCGCGCTGAGCGGCTATGTGCAGTAGCACCCGAAGAGTGGTCA